GCTTAAATATCCCACAAAATAAAGGGTTATATTATCAGATTAATACCTTTATCTATGGACTAAAATGCTGCCAGCTGAGGCATACCATTATGGTTCTTTGTTCCTTAAATTTGACCCTGATATTTACCAAATATTTATGCCAAATGTCTGGAATATATAGAACAGTAATTAGACAGTCAAATAGATGAAGGGGATTTTCAAGGCACCCTCGACTGTCCATTAAATTTGTCACCCGCGGCTAAGCTAAATGTCAAATAGTACTCACGGACACACAGATACTCCTGCCAAGGCAGGACATCTCTCACACACACACACACACACAATGAGAAAGCTGGGAACAATAACAGCATCAATTTGACACGTACAGGCGCTAATGATGGGAATGGCTGGCCAACTGAACGATCGAATCCTGTGCGGCGTTACAGGCCGCTCAACATGCCCACAATTGAACCACCAGGACTTGGTGTGTGCGAGTGTCCCTTTACGAACTTTTGACATCCTGCCGTTTCGAGGATTCCCTTTCCCCTTTGTCCTGCCATTTCCCTTTCCATTTTCCCCGACTTTTGCGAGCTGTCAGTTGCTGGCTGGTGTGAGTTGGCATACTGAGAGTCGTCGGGACTGCCAATTTAATTCCCATTGACAAAATGCACAATTGCCGGACACCATGCTGCTCCCCTCACAGCCTCACATCCTTTGTCCCAAAATGTAACTGCTCTTGTAATTGCAGTTCCTGCTGGTGACAGCCAGAGAGACTGAATCTCAGACCTCTATTAATTATTTTAGAAAATCGCTTGTAATAACAATAAATTCGTACGCAACCCACTTGGACAGACGGTTTTTCTGCAAAGAACTTTTCCGCCCACAACTGTTCGATTTTCCGCGACATTCAAATATTTGGTATTCGTTTGGCCAAGGCCAATGTGGCTGTAACCAAGTGCAATCAAGGCAAATGTTTGCATTCTCGGGTTTTCCCCACTGTCTGACATTGCGGGGATTTCCCTGATTCGAGACCTGCTGCCATACCACTTTCCATTTTGATGGCATATCGATTTAATAAATTTGCGTGTGGCCCCAGCGACAATTTGATTGACAACTAAGTTCGGCCTCCCTCTGTTAGTCAGGGGGGATTTTTTTAGTGTTTTTTCTTTATTCGATTTCAAGTGGGTTGAGTGGAGATATGTCCACGTGATTTCCATCGATATGGCATGGGGAATTGGTTTGATTTAAGCCACTTTAAGAGAGGGGTTAAAAAAAAGAACGTTAAGGGAAATCTGTGGAGAGCACTCTCTTTATTAGTTGAATCAACCTGGGCTTCATGGCGTTTCAAGTTGAAAGGGGAAGTTGGTTTATTTTAGAGGTTTTTATAAAAAGAAATTTAGAAAATTGTAAAACAGAGTTCAGGAAATAATACCATAAATCTTTGCTTTACAAATAACTAGCTTTAAATTGAGTATACTTAAAGGTCTTAATTATTAAATTTCTAAATATAATTATATGGCTTATAATGATAAGATATATTTAGGTAATTTCCTCTTAGAGTAGCGTTGTAGTAAAAGATTATATTAAATGGGAACCTTATAAACAACTTATACTTTTAGATAGATGTTTCTATAACTTAAAAACACAGTAGTTAAGATACAGTTTAAAATAACTAGATATATTTTAGCATCTACCTCTAAATTAAGCATTCTTTAGATACAATATCTTATAAAATCGAAATCTTATAATATAAATACCATATATTTTCTAATCTTTACAACAATTCCTTTTTCCCAGCCTTCATATTAATTCCCATAACTCAAAAGCAGCCGTTATATATATTCGATCAGGTCTAGACCCACCTCATTTCGCTAGGGTTTTATGCTCACAGAAGAAACCTCTATATAAAACCTTACATTATATTCATAAATCAAATGCGATCAGAGACCATGGACAGAAAATTGTTAACATCCGGGTAATTTAAATACTAAAAATATTCAGTTACCTATTCAACAAACTCCGCTGTCCGTGGAGAGGTTAAAGGTGAGAGATTCGTCTAGAAATACCCGAAATTAAAATTAGAATTCACCAAAAAAAAAAACGAGAGCTATATATTTAGGCGCGCTTAATTACAAACCCCAGAGCATAATGAAGGTATTGAAAAGGCGTTGACATGCAACCGATAATTAAATTCCAAACCGACGACAATGGAACACTGGGCCAGTTCCCACATAATAAGGATTTGGCAATAAAACTCTTGGATATGTAAATTTTATCGGGGCGAAGGGAGTACTTGGTGGTGTGAAACGGGGCTCGAGGGAGATCAGAGATCAGAGATCTCTTTGCGATCTGGGACCTGGATCTAATGGCCATTGCCGTGCCCGTGCATCTTGAGCGGGACTGTGCCGTTAGGTTTTTCCACATTTTCCAAGCGGGGAAAAACGTGCACCCGCACAAAACGGCAACAAAAGTGTCAACTTTGTCGGGCAGTAAATGCAGTAAAGACCCGGGGATCAGGCAACCCCTCAAACAGTACACTGAGGAAAGTGAACATTAAAATGAATTTGTAGTTATATGAAAGCTGCTAGCATTTAAAATACAACGTAAAATTGTTTAAAATGAAGTTTAAAACCGGCTAGATTAAGATCAAGCTTTACAATTTTCTTTAAGCCAAACATTAAAATGAATTTACACTCATATAATTGCTAAAAGCGTTTAAAGTATAATGTAAAATGGTTTAAAATGAAGTAAAAACCTTGAAAAATTAACAAAACAGTTTACAAGTTCTTTAAAGTTGTACATCTAATTTTTATATATTTTTTCCAGTGCATCTCTATTCATTTGCTTTCTAATTTGGGCACACGCTCCTCGCCCAGAGAGGAAACAATAAACACTTTTGGGGTAAGGGAAGTAACCAAAAGGGAGCTGGGGTTGCATTCCCTTTTGCATTTCCGTTTTTCACACAAACATTTGAAAGCAATTTTTCAAAATTGAAACTCATTTCATATGACGCTGCCATATATCCATTATTTTTTCCATCGCACAGCCGGTATTTATCTGTGACAGCGGATCGGCGAATAAGATTGTCCAGCAAAGATAAGTCCCAAATACCGGGAAGCAAGTGTTGAAAATATATATAGATATTTCGGGGTGACAATTGTTTGGCCTGAGGGCGGTAGAAATTCCATTTCAAAAGACTGAACTTATCTACGAATTAGTTTTAGCTTTTGCACTGAACTCTCTATCAAAGTTTCTGGATCAAATTAAGCCGGAAAACAAGAAGCGAATCGAATGGCGGGGAAAGGGAGAGAGTATATGGTATAGGCCATAAACTACACAGCCGCCACAATATATTTCGAGAAACCACAATCGTCTTAGTCATCCAGCAGCAACCCTTTGGGGTATATACATACTATATCCCCTGCCAGACTTATGCCATTGAATGGCTGCCTGCTCCATCATCATCATCATCATCTCCTACGGCTGGTCTCCTGGTAACTCCAAACAATGAACTCATAACTCAAGTGACACTTTTTAACTTGACTGCATTTCATCATGTGGCGTACGTCTTGGACTTCGTCTTGGAGTCTCCCCCTCTTTCCAGGCTCCTTTTGCTTGTTTCGTCCGACAATATTCAAATTGAGTTTTCCAGTGCAAGACCCAGAGCCACTGCGACTGTAGTCATCCATCGTTGGAAAGTTCTTTTTTCTTTTTGTTGTTGCTGCTGCCCGGTATTTGTTAGTTGATAAAAGGCCAGGCCATTATATGCATGGCCGGGCTGCACAATTTGAAGTGGGTAAAATTTGTATGCATGTGGCTGCCATGACAACGCCCCAAAGCCCGCTTCCCATCTGCATCTCAGAATCCCCGCTCCAAACTCCAAACTCCAAGCCTCCATCTCTATCGGCTTCTCCTGCTGCGACCTTTCAATTCAAACAAGAAGCAGGGATTCGTTTTTTTTTCAAACTGTCATTGCTGGACTGGGTTTGGTCCTTCAAAAGAATTCTTGGCTTTCTCTTTACGGGCAGCTCGGACTCGGATTCTGTTGTCTCATGTCGCTAAGGCTTGTCAACCTGCCGGGTCTCGTGGTTCCTCACTCTCACACTAGTCAAAGTCGATGTTGGAGCCCAATCCCCGATCCCTGAGAAACCCGGGAATCGACAAACTCCAAAAGGCAGACAAGTGCAATGAACCGCGTTTGTCTTCTTCCATTGCAGGCTGCGGCGTTGATTTATGTTACATCTTCTATGGTTACATTGGCCCTTCGAACGGATACCCCAAGACTCTGACTCTTACTCCTCTGACTGCCCCGATTTTCGCCATTAAGCGCAGCTCATATGTTACCCAAAGGTATGGCTATGGAGGAGGAGGAGAATCTCACACGTGAAATGATTTATTAGCGGTAATTGGTGTCACAGTGTTCCAAAGAAAATGGAAAGGATACTCATCCCCCTCATGGAGCATCCCACGTCGCATCCCGCATTCCTTCTCAGACTTCTCGTTGGTTGCCAAGCGCCCGTTGTTTCGAACTTCTCTTTTAATTATCTTGATTTTAAACTTATTAAAATTGACAAATGATTTTCGTAGACAACGCTGTGGTGGCATGAAGGAAACAGGTTGTCCATGGCTGTTTCCCAGAATCCCGAGAGTTGATAAATCATCGAAAGGCGATGTAACTCTTTCTTGGCTTTAGTTTATTTACTCTTTTGAGTTGGGTTTTCTTTACTTTTTTGGGCTAGGTTAGGAATTCCCAAGTTGACAACACACCTAGTTCTGTGTCGATTTACCTGGGCTGATAAGAAACTAAGGGGTAATCTTGATACAAGTAAAACTCTGGAAGTTCTTTTAGATAGTTTGAAATACTTACTGCTTAGTTTTATAAACTTGAATGTATTTTAAGATCTCTGTGAATACAGAAACTCTTTCTATGAACTTCTAGTAGTGTAACCAACTTAATATTGCATTCTTTATATAGTTTTTAAAACCATTCCTATTTCTCTCCCTAAAAATTAAACCCATTCTTATGCTTTAATGCAACTTGAACAGATTTATTTCACAACATTTCACCTGAGTGGGTCCAACCTGACTTTATCGTTTAATAAGATATCAATTGTCAGTATAATTGACTTAGTGATGTCCCGGCATGGCCTTGTGCTCCTTCAGGCACATGGTGATCTTGAAGGCCGTGTCACAGTCATTGGTACCCTTCATGTCCTTGCAGGCATTCACGCCCGAGGTGATCTCATCCATCTTGTCCTGGATTTGCGGCACATTCTTCAGAGTATCCAGCAAAGCCTGAGCATTGAACTGGCCATTGACAAGATGTCCCTGCTTCTCCATCAGGCACTTGGTGTAACATTTGAGGTTCTCCTTGGCACTGCCCTGCATGCCACTGGCCATGAAATCCTTGAGATCAGCCTCCGTCACCTGAGTGGAGGCCATGCATTGCTGCATGATCTGCCGGAAGTCAGGATCGCACTGGTGATAGAAGATACAAAATAGATATAATCAGAGTTTTATAATAGAATATTCCAATTACCTGACCAATGGCCAAGATAGTAGCCAAAGCAACACAGAACAGAGTGGCTTTCATGATGGAAATTAATGTGGTTTTTTGAAGCTTTAGCTTTTCCGGATTCACTCGAGAGCCTCGACTGTTGGTCATAGGTTCAATATCTGCTGCTTTTATAGCCGATCTCAATGGATATTCACATCCGATTCAGCAAATGCAATTGTGGCAATTAAACTTTTTTGCTAGATGAGCCAGAATTTGATTACGCACAATACAGACAATTACTCCACAATAGAATTTCCCTTTTTCGATGGTAATTATATTCCATTATCAGTCCATTTGGGTGAGGGAGACGATGTGTTTGGCAAATCAGCAAAGTTAGTCACAATTAGTTGCCGGCGGGGACTCAACAACGAATCAATTATTCATTTATTGTATTTAGATGCGGTCAGAGTTTGACAATTTTCGGCCTTTGTGCCAGCCATTCACACTTGCCCAATTGATTTGCATGCCGATTTGTTTTCGGTCCGAGTTCCCCAATTGATATTTTCGAAGGCATTTAATCTCACATAATCACGGCAATATATTTCCAACGAAGGTCGGTGCTGAATAATTTACCAAAATTAGCACAAATATGGTCCAGAAATTCAACAAATTTGTAAAAGCGTAAATTTGTAATGCTGCTGAATCTATCAGTTGTATTTATAGCACTTTAATGAAGTTGTAATTAAATTGTCAAATAACTAAGACAAGCATCAGAGGGCACATATTATTATTATTCACTATTCTAAACACGTGTTAATAATTATAAATAATATATATAAGCACAAATGTATTACAAACCCCTTTTTAATTTAGAGTAAAACCGAAGCAATTTATTTTTATTTGCCTTGAAAGCTGATGCCATACATCTTGTTCCTTCGCCTGCAGACATTTTTAATCGAAGTCACAGATTGCACAAGTCGACTATCCATAACAATTAAGCATCCATCAGGCAAGAGATGGGGACAGATATAAAATAACTTGCATAATTCCTGGGCAAATTCAAATCAATAGACAAACAATAAGCTCTCTGAGGGCTCGCAGGCCAACTGCCATTTACAGGACTGAGGAAGCCATGTTGACAGCACAAATAATTTATGCCTTTGTTATAAGGTAGGGGAGGAGCAGCAAGGAGCAGGAGCAAGGAGCAGCACCTGCCGCAGTCCTTGGACAGCCACGCCCACATACACAGGTTGGATTATTCGCCAGAGGAGAAGAAAAAAGGAGGAGGCGCCGCACAAGGACGAGGACGACAACGACGACGACGATTCCAAGTCCAAGTCGAAGTGGTTGACAAAAGGCCGAGTGCAAAACCGGAGCAGAGCACTGGGCAGCCCAGTGCTTGTCATTAGTCAGGCAGGATAAGCAAAAGGACATGGCCATAAAAAGGGCAATGCGAGGCGCCCGGCAACAAGGTGTGTCCTGTGAATGAATTGCTGAGTAACCAATAATGAAGTAAAACTGTTCGAGTCCTGTTCGAGGTTGGCAGGAAGGTAGGAAGGAGTTGTCCGACCGACAACCGGGCACAATTCACTGTCAGTTGCATTGTTTTGACCTGATTTACATGCCAGGCAGCCCCAAACCTTCTAACCGGTCCCCAATATCAGTCGAGTCCGTCCATTCGGTGGACTTTTATAAATTACAAAGGCCACCGCACAAAGGCGATAGATAGATGCAGGATGCCTAAGCTAAGCTCCTATTCGCTCTGTTCTTTTCCTAGTTTTCCCTGCTGCTTTTCCTGCCTTTTTCCCAGACGACAACGACAACGATGACGGGGACGAAACAAAGGCCAACGTTAATGAGCCAAGAGAATGGCGCGAGCCGTAACAAACGTGGCTAAATAAAGAGCGGGGCAAATTGTAAGAAAGCAGAACTGTGTCACAATGTTTTGACAGGAGTCGGGGGCATAGGAGAAAGGACTCCGGACACGGGACACGGGACACGGGACAAAAGGACACCGAACACAGAACACAGGACGACTGGCTCTGCTAGTTAAGCGGCCAAAGACAAAGTTGATAAAATTAGATTTGTATGGTAAATAGTTTTTGTGGGATGCGACGACGTTGAACCAGGGGACAAAGTTTAATAAATGTATAAAATTAATTAGCCAGTTGAATGCTCATTAACAGCTGGCCCCGACGACTGACAACTCTGTTTCTCTCAGGACCTCCTGCTGTGTACCTTTAAGGCTCTCTGCAGCTTTAAGCCAGGTCGGAACTTTTGTTGGCCATTGATGGGTTAGGTAGGGGCCAGAGCAGCTGCTGTCAAGCTGCCTCAATTAATTCCCAGCAGTCAGTCAATGAAATGTGAAATGTATAGTATTTTCCCCTCGATTCTGTCCAATAACCACCGATTCCCTGGCATTTTCACACCTCCCGCCGCCCGGCATTCCTGGCCGACCGCCCGCTGTGCCAAATAATCGGGGGGACTGAGGGAAAAAAGGGAAAAGGAAAAGTGAAAAACCCCTCCAAAAATGAATGTTGACCTTTCACAATTGCAAGCCGCATGGGTTCTTTGTTTGCTGCAACTTGCGTTTTACGGCTGCTGCAGCATCCAGCGGTCCAGCGGTCCAGAGTTGACCACAAAAGCCAAGGGCCCAAAATGCAAAAAAAAAAAAAGGAGAATGAGAAGTTACCAAGCTGCAAAGGGGCACGAAATCAAAATATATTTCGGACATTGTGGTAAAGTAATTGGATTTTGGGGCATTTATTATAATATTGGAAAATCTCTCTGTATATGTGCGAGGGAATTTCCGGGAATAACAAAGGCCGGCTCGAATGCATATATGAACATATATAAACCAGCGAGCAGGCAAAGGAAATTCGAAAATAAATCCATTCAAATCCAGTGAATAACTGGCACAGGATTTAAATCAATATCAAATAGAAAGAGTGAGTTGGACCGGAATAGCAACCGATTTTTAGTTAAATTTATGGAAAAATTTGAACAAAAAGAAATATATATTTGAATTTCTAGAAATTCTAGATTAACTTTTGAGATTAGAAAGAGTTATATAGCTTTTTTATATATTATAATAAACTCATAATACTAATGTTTAATTTTTTCGGGATAGGTAGTAATTTAGGTAGTTAATTTTCCAATTTATAAATATTTTCCCTCCCTTTCTTGACACTTTTTAAGACCCTTCAAAAACAAGTGCTAGAAAATTTCGTTGTTAACATAAAATTTCTATAATTTGCACTCGTCTTTATTTTGGACAGCTATAATTGGAATCGCGACTTCAGCCAGTCAATTCCACACACACTCTCTTCCATTGCTGGAACAGAAAAATATTCAAACTGAGCACTGAGTTATTGAAATTAAACATCAAATGTCACTGGCAGGCACAAGCGCAGGCCAATTCGCTGTCTTCGCAGTGAAAGGCGGACGCCACGCACAAAGGCACAAAGGTCCTTCTGTGGCACATGCACCAGGCTCTGGGTTCAGGATTTCAGCGAAGAGAAAAAAAAAAAAAACTGAGCTGCCTGACAAGTTGCCAAAGAGCGAGGAATTCGAATTTGCGTGGAAGTTTTTTGGCAAAAATAAAGTCGAGGCAGACGCCGCCGAAGACAATTGCCCCGGCAAATGAAATCAAGCACAAGCAGCTCAAGGATCCACCGATGAAAGGAGCCCAGGAGCAGGAGCAGGAGCAGGAGACTATATGTGTGTGTGTGTCACAAATACAATTTACATGCGTACGTGTGCCAGAGGCCAGGAGGGGGATGGGAAGCGGCAGAGTAAGGACATGGCACTCAGTGCGTCTCTGTGACATGTCCTTAGGATATTTGTATGCAAACAGGGCACAATGCGCTGAAATCGATATGCGGGCGCGCATTTGCTTGCCTTCCCCTCATCCATTTCGAAGGGTCTCGCAGGACTCGCAGGACCAAGGAGGCTGCAGCTTAGACGCCGTCGCCGCCTTCCATCTCCGCGTCCATCTGCATCTTGGCCTGGCAGTTGACAGCCATGTGCAGCGGCGCAATGAAATGAAAAATGGTGAGAAGAAGCGACGGCGACGACGAAGCCTGCAGCTTCAAACTCGAACTGAAGCAGGAAGGACACTGGGAATAATAATTATAAAGACAGTATGTTTTACACAAAAGGATAATTTTATAGAACAAAATGTATCCTTTTGTTTATTAGCTAGTGTAGAGAGATAATAAATATAATATATAATATTATAATATTGTAATGGTAGTGAATAGCTTACTCTCGCCATCTCTTTCTGTATGCCTCTGTAAGCCTCTGTCTCTCGCTCTCTTTCTTACTCACAATAACATTTGGTACGTCTGCCTCCCTCTGCTGCAGCTCTAGAAATGGCGCTTACGCTCTATCTCTCTCTGTTGCAGCTACAGAGGTAGCTCTTTGCCTCTCGCTCTCTTTCTCTGGTATCATTGATCGGGAAGTATAAATAGAGGTGCTTCGATCGCCGCGACCTCAGTCTGTCCTAGGGGTACCTAGTGTTAACATCGATAGTGAGTGATAGTGATTACCCTTTGACCTAAAATATATGACGTGGCCAATGTAACACATCCAGATAAACAGGAAGAGATCTTCGGTGCCATGATAATTCTAATTGAAGTCACCACGATTATAAGTCGATACTGGAAGGAATTACAACTAAATTGATAGTGAAAGAAGAACACTTCGATGAATCCATATCGTATGACGATACTTAATTAACTCACCAGAAATACATATAACTCTACAGCGGAGCTCTCTCTCTAGTGGAGCTCTCTCTACTCCCTATTTTTGTTTAGTTACTTCCTGCAGAGCTCTCTCTACCCCAGCTTTCTTATTTCTTTTTTAATCTTTAAAAACCCTTAACCAAACTCCACTTTCTTTCAGTGCAAATATGTGATAGAGCCCGCGGCGACAACGATGGCCTGCTGACAAGCCCTTCGTCGCACTTATGTGCGTGTCCTCTCTTTGGGTAGTTTATACATAAATGGACTAGGGATGGGTGATACTCTGGATATGTGATATTAGTTTGATCTATTGTGATTTCATGCAGGGATGCAGCATCAAGCCAGCCAGCCAATGGAAATGGAATAAGCCCACAAAAGCCACCAGGAAATTGCTAAATGGAAC